TTTTGTGCCAGAGCTCTGATTTTGTGTCAAAAGCAGTTGACATAGCAGCAGAAGAATTAATTTTATTGGCAAGAGGAGGAGCAGGTTTGCTTGCATTTCTCTTATTTCGCCCTTTTCATGGAAAATTCTTTAATTTTTGCTATCCCTTTTTTTTTTTGAAAATCCTTTTAAAAGTTTTTGAACCCATCATGGTGGCAGTTTCTCAGATAATGATAAAGCGTGCACAACAGGCCACAAAATCTGCCGTCCTAATGAATCTAGAATCTAGAGTATGCTTTCCTTCTCTCTCTCTCTCTCTCTCTCTCTCTCTCTCTCTCCCCTATCCCAAAATGCAGAGTTGTGCATTATTATTCTAGCAATTCTCATATGTTAATTTTTTTATTAAAATCATTTCATTGTTGCTTTAGTTTTCTTTGTTCTGTTAAAAGACTTCTAATATTAAATCAGTTGTATTTTTCAGATGATTGTGGCAGAAGAAATCGGAAGGCAGATTTTGACACATGGAGAAAGGTGTGTTTATACTTCAAACTCCTTTATCTGTATCTATCCCTATGTATTCACGCATGATTTCCTATGCCAAATCTAAAGATATGTTTTGACCTGCATACGACATTCATGTGAGAAAACGGTTACAGAGAACATAGAATTACGGGGTTGTGATATTTAAGTCCAGTTACGAGTCTAATTTTCATCATGTTTAGAGATTTTATCAGAAAAAAAGTTGGCACTAAAATCTTATATAGTTTGCTTCTTAGAGTGTTTTACCCCCAATAATTCTTTATCACAAGTTTACTATTGATTGCCCAAGCTCCAACCAGAAACCTTTCTGAAAATTTTTCCACCTGAAAACATGTACCCTGCTACAGAGGTTATCAACCTATGGTTGAAGGGTCTTTTACCTTTCTAAAATTGGGTACTATAACAACGCTTTTATGAATATCAAAAAGTTTTTGAATAAGTAATTAATTTAAACACTTATTGTTTGAGAATGGCTATATGAGTGAAATTACCTTATTGTGAGTTTTATGGTTATGGTTAGTAAAAAATTTCTGCTCTTTTATAAAATGTGAAATTCATATTGCTAACAACTATGTGATCTGTTAGTAGAATACTGATTAGCGATTAAATCCTAACAGCCTCAAATATTAAAAATAGTAAATGAAATTCATATTAATTGTTACTATGTAAAATAAGTTATCTTTATGTTCCAGTCTCAAATTTGTTTCAACATCCTTTTCTTGCTTCTGCAACCAAAAATCCGGCAATGCTAATCATCCTTGATCTTGTTGCTTTGGTGAAAATGTTTTACATGGTTACCTTGCTAACGAGTTTATGTCTAGTCTGGACCGGCCACAAAAACTTATTTCCTCTTCTTCTCTTTTTCAGCGAGGTTGCACTGTGTTTTTCAACCTTTTTAATCATTAAAAGAGAGCTCACTTGATGGAATAGACTTTAGTCCTTTTTTTTAGTGCGCCGTAGTCTGAGGATAAGAGGAGTTACAGCTGTTGGGAGTTGAACTCTAAATTTGTTGGATACCACCTTTTAAGAATGATTGCATGAACCAACTAAATTAAACTCTGAATTCAATAGAATTAATCATTTGATACTATGCTTTTCTAATTGTATTTAAAGGGAATTATATTTACCATGACAGATAGTGCCAAAAGGAATTGATTTAATGTATAGGTGTGTTGTTTTCTTGTGGCACACTAGTTTCTTACTGTAATTTGCCTCATGAAAGGAGTATCCAATTTGTTTTGTTTTAACATATTTTATCTTATATTTCTTCTCAGGAAATCCGTACAGCCGTTTTTAAAGATGGTAGATGAAGTAACTCTGCGCGATATTACTGATATGGCTGAGAAGATTATATCGTCGCCTCTAACTATGGCATCTTATGGTGATGGTAAATATCTGATTTCCTGGGAACTATTTGATCCATAGTCTTGTTGTGATTAGATTATGAGATTCTTTACCCTTCTTGCTTGGCAGTTATTAACGTCCCCAACTATGAATCTGTTAGCAGCAAGTTTCGTGCAAAAGGAGTGTACCCATGAATTCTGAACCAGAGATGAGTTTACAATGGTGGCAATCATGGCAGCCACCCCCGCTGACAAACTTTTTGCCAGTCACTGAAATTTCATTAGCATCTCAGTTTAAATTTGATTATGGGGTTGCATGAAGTGCACCTTCATTGTGGATTTGTGAAATGTTTAAGTTCGAACCCAACATTGTTAGGTTCAGTCCGTCCAAAAAAAAACAAATAAACCCGTCATCTTATATAGAGCCCAAAATTTTTTGGCAAAAAGAAAATTTTATAATTTAGATGATCTGACACGTGGATGGTCTTTAGTAATTACCATATGTCTGATATTTAGTTTTATTAAATATATAAATTTATTTGAATTCATATAGATTTTAAAATATTTCAATGTATTAATTATATTTGTTTCTTTAAATTTTTAATTGACTTATTTTTATTTCTAATAAAAAATCTTAAATTATAGATAATAGTATTTAAAAGAACATGTTGAAAATCTATTATAAATAAGGGATTTTGATGTAGTAGCTTTGGATTAAAGTAAACTTATCCTACTCTTCTGCAATTACAATTTGTTTTTTTTGATAATTTATACTTCAAGTTATGAGTGTTTTAGTTTGTTTCAATTTGTACCATTATATTTTAAATTTTTGTCATACTTCACTTAATACACTTTTAACTCTAATTAAAAATTCACTAGCACTGTATAATTCTATATTACTATATCTTAACAATTTTAGTTTTAATCAATTGCCACATATTTGCCCAAAATTTTATGGAAGAATCTACAATGAAAAAAAATTTGTATACAAAATTGATTGAGATGACAAAATTTTCTGTTTTTTGGAATCAAAGATATGATTGACTTTTGTTTAAATATTACTTGAATTCAATAAATTACAATTTGAGTTTTTTTTTAAATTAAATTTGTTGATAATTATATAAGTATATCAAATATATAATTAATTTAGTTTATTATACTGAAAAATACAAAATTTAAATAAAAAACTAATTATATAAAGTTTGAATTATACATAAACTTAAAAACTTATATTATCAATTAAAAAAAACTGACATTATATAAATTTATTAATATATGAATATACTCACATGCATCAGTTTAAAACTAGTATATATTAATGTATATTGAACAAACTTTTATGTTAACATGCATTTTATTAATTTTAATTATTTGTATAATATATAATTATATATTGATTTATAATTATTATTTATATATTAATATTAAAAATAACTAGAACTAGTCATCATTATGCTGAGGTAAATTAATTATTTTAATAAAAAATAAATAAACAGAAATATTATAAAAAATTATGGTACTACGTATATTATGATTATATTTTTTATTATTTTTTTGTTCTATTATAAGTGTTGTATTTTTTATTAATTATTTGATTAAAATGTATGATTTTTTAATTTTTGTAGATTATAAACTTTTTTTATAAAAATATTTAAAACAAAATAAAAGAAAAAAAGAAAGTAACTTTTATTTTTTTTATATCTTTTTATATTTATAATAATTATTATATTTTTATTATATTGTTTTATTTTAATATAAAATAATAAATGATAAAAACTCAAAACCTATTAAAAAAAAAAAAAAAAACTAGTTACAATCTAACATTGAACAAATTTTCACATTTCTTTCTTCAAATCCAATTAAAACTTAATTCATCATGTTTCAATTCAATCTAAACCCAACACATAATTACTTACCAAATCCAATAACTTAGTAAATTTTTTTATCAATCTATAACTATTTGACAAATAAAAAGGCTTAGCAAATTTTTTTATCAATCAATAATTATTTGACAAATAAAAAGTAATGAGCTATCATTTAATTAAGAGTCATCCTCACTTGAGGATAACTTTATTATATATTATTGATTAATTTACATGTAGAAAAAGAATTAACACTCTTATAATATCTATCTAAAGACAATATGAATTAATTTTATATGATTATAAAAGGATTTATATAAATGGGTTTTTATTCTTAGTTATATTTCGTTATATGAAATATTAAAAAGATTTTAAAATTTTTTTAATATTTTGATAGAATTTTGAAAAAATTCTTTCATCTAAAAAATATTTGAAAATTTATATTCCTTGAAAAAAATTTTATCATCGGATTAATTTAAAATTTTAAAAAAATATATATTTTTTTATTTTTAATTTTGATTTTACAACCTTTATTTTTTATTAAATATTTTATTAAAAATTAAATAAGATATTTGTTATTGAAATACTGCCCAAATCTTTTCAATACTTTTTGTTAGATTCTAAAAAAATTATTCACCTACAAATTTGAAGCACCACTTGTAGTTTTCTTTTAATTTTATTTTTAGAAGAATGTTCATTTATTTTTAATTTTTTAAAAACTTTATATGATGCAAATAAATAAATAAATAAAACTATAAAAAATTTTAAATTTATTTGTCTAACATATATTTTTTAATTTTTTATGTTTGTCATATGATCAAAACATGTTCTTAATCTAAAAATTTATATATGTAAATAAATGAATAAATAAATAAACAAATAAAAATAAATTAAAAATAAAATAAAATAAAAATACCAAAATAAAAATTTGTTTGATTGCCATGTGTCCAAAATATATATGTGCATCAAAAATCCTTTTTTCAAACCGCCCCGTTCAATTTATTTCATATCTTAATTAATCATCTAATCATTTTTTATGTTCCCTTTTAGGTGTTATTGAAATTGAGAAATGGAAATAATTTTAATATATTTTATAAATAAATTTTATGTTAATTTCGTATAAATTTTATTGATATACAATTAATTTAAAATTTTTGTATAATTAATATACAATTATATTCAATCTAGAGTAATGACATGGCAAAAATATAGGGTAACCACGCGAAAGAAACAGCCGACTTGAATAGCGCTCATTGGATCATATTAATAGGTTAAGGAAATCGGTACGGTCAGATAAGATCGGAGGGTCCCCCCATCATTGTGGATCCCACTTTTCCACGTTCCTTTGAAACCACTGCTCCCTCCTATTTATACTCCTTCCTGTTTCAAACTCTTTTGCTCCAACCGGCTTTAAAAAAAAAATTTCTCTCATTTTCAAGGAACCAAAAGAAGAAAAATCGACGGTGATTGATTGATCAGAGAAAAATGTCGTGGCAAACTTACGTTGATGAACACCTGATGTGCGATGTTGGCGACGGCCATACTTTAACCTCCGCTGCTATCATCGGCCACGATGGCAGTGTTTGGGCCAAGAGCTCCTCTTTTCCTAACGTATTATTGTCTCTTTCTTTTGTTTGGATCTGTTTATTTTCGATCAATGGTTAAACTAATTAATCAACGTGGATCTGGTTGTTTAATTGTTAATTAATCCATTTTAATACTCAATAATCGATTCATCTTATTGGGTTGATTAGATAATATGATTCTCCAATGTAAATTAATAAATGAAAAAGTTGGATCTGTATTTCTTATGAATTGTATATGCTGTGTTTGGATTTGATTATTCAATGAGCTGCGTTTTTGTTTATTTTATGTATAAAGAATGTCTATAAGCTGAGAAAATGATGGAAATTCTTTTGCTCCATTTCATCATGCAGACGTTGATTATCATAATCATGAGTTTCAAACATAATAAATGACTACTTAGCGAAGTTAATTGTCGACCAAGATATAAATATATTCCCATTGGATCACTACTTTTCTAATTAATTTGGGATTTTTCCCCCCCTTTTTTTTGGGGGGGGGGGGGTGGGTGGGGGGTCTTTTGCAGTTTAAGCCTGAAGAGATTACTGCCATCATTAAAGATTTTGATGAACCTGGATCTCTTGCACCAACTGGGCTGCACCTTGGTGGCGCTAAGTATATGGTAATCCAGGGCGAGGCCGGAGCTGTGATTCGTGGGAAGAAGGTGAATTATTGCTCTCTTCCTAATCTTGGTTATCACTGGTTCTTTTGAATTGATCTATATTTAATGTGCATTAAGCTTATATTTTACCTGCAACTTTTGAGAAGAGATTGAATGCATACCTCTTTGAATGGGTGCTAGTAAACTCTACAAACAGAAATACTTTTTTGTCCGACTCCTATAGCATGTATAGGTTTCTGACAGGCACAATGTAAATGCCCTTCAAGTTTGTATTTAGTTACACACTGCCATTGTATGCAGTTGAACACATATTCCTACTAAATGAAGTGCATGGCAATATGCATTACCCTCCCAAAAAACCAGCATTCAGAATATTGTGCAAGAAAGAGAGATAGAGTCCTTTACTAGGATATACTAACCTTCCTTTTGCGCAAAGGGAAATAATATTCAGTACCATATTAGTTGTTTGTTTGAAACATACAGGATGGGATCTTTCTCTGAATTTTCACTTTTAGTAATCGAAAATGGACCTTAGGAAATGGAATGTAATAACGATAGAGCCCCATGGGTCTCACATGTGGGGCCTTGTCCAGAATTTAAAATTTCATCCAGCCTTGATTTGCTAGTCCATTTCGATAACAGTTTCTTGCTCTATAAACAGCCTAAACACATGGATGACAAATTCCTTTTAGCTTTACTTTTAGAAAGTTTATTCCTAAAGCATTTTCGCTTATCTATTGTTGGTCATGCATTTGGGCATTTACCAATATCTTTTATGAGTGCATAACAGATATCTAACCATGCTTTGATTGTGCTTTGTTAAGTCTAGTCCAAAGTCTCCAATCTGATTAGGTTTCCATCATGCATCATGGCATCTATCATTTTCTTGTTTGAGTACACAGAAATGTGCAATCACCTGTTACTGCTTTTTAAATGGTTTTTTTATTAGAATTGCTGATTACAAGCAAGATAGCAGGGACCATTTGTTCAGGAGAAGTACTGATTTTTAAATTAACTTCTTTCAGATAATTATGAAAGATAGTTGAATATTATTACCTTTATTGAGAAGCAAATTTGTCAGATTGAGGTTCTTATGTTTATGAAGTCTTTCATTTATCAATTTTAAGTGTTAATTATTCTTTATTGATACTTGTTGATGATATTTGGAGTTAGGAAGGTTGATTTTAAGTACTTGTTAGGTAGAAAACAAATTAGTGCCTGCCCGATGGCATTGAACTGTTCCAAAGTTACATTTTAACTGACAATGCTGACTAGTGAGAGCTTAAGAAATTCCTCTTGCCTATTGTCGTCATTTATTTTTCAGGGCACTGGTGGCATAACTGTGAAGAAAACAGACCAAGCTATGATCTTCGGCATATATGATGAACCAGTGACTCCAGGACAGTGTAACATGGTTGTTGAGAGGTTGGGTGATTACCTTGCTGAGCAGGGTCTGTAGGCCTCTCCCCCAGGTTGTTATCCTATTTTACTTATTGGTTTTGGGCTTGCATCTTTCTTCCATAGCCAGGAACTGGCATTGAAGTTTTTTGGAGTTGGTGATGATAATAATCAGTGAAGACAAAATAATTTTAGGTTTGTTAGTTTTTTTTTTTTGGGGGTTCTCCCATTGGCCTTGTTCCCGTAATTTATGTGCATTCATTCTCCCTGCTGTTTTGGCTCCAGTGGAGTTTGCTTTTTTTTTTTTTTTTGTTCTTGAATTTGCTAAAAATGTTCTTTGGATATCTATTATATTATGATATGGTGGAATCTATTTTGAGTTGTTAAAATTAACCATCTTTCACACTTGGAGAATAACTGAGAAATTTTTTCATTTTGTTGATGGAGGATTGATTTCAGGACTGTTAGTGGTAAAAATTAGATTTACAGTTTCCCCCGTGATGGCATTTCTTTAATGATTATGCGTGTCACATCACTTGAGGTATCCTTCTTACTCTTGATATGTAAAAGATAAACATATCCTTCAAATTTTACTTGTTAGTGTACAGTCTTTTAACTGAAATCAACTTATTTAACGAGCAATCTTTTAATAATATTTGATGTATAAAATGATATATAAAATAATATAATAATTATTTTATATTATATTTAATTTATATTTTAAAAAATAAAATTATAAGAAAAATTAATCATTCTCTTAATCGATAATTTAATTTTTTAGATGAAAAATTATTTTTAATTCATAAAATTAAAATTATATATTTTATTATATCTTAAAAATTATATCAATAATTTAAATTATATAGATTTTAAAAAAATATTATTATGATTAATAAATAAATTATTTTATTATAATTTTTGTATATATAAAATATCATATAAAATGATATTATTTAATTTAATTTTATTTATAATATTATTTTATCTTATTCTATTATAATTTTATATATCAAATACATGTTACTAAAAAATTTCACGAAACGTTTGAATTATTTTTCAAATTTTACTGAATGATTGTCTTTTTGAGATTCAAGGGTTTTTTTTTTTTTTTCTTTTTTAAAATTCTAATAAACTTTCATTTAATATGTTTATGTATATCTAAAAACAATTTAAATACTACTTTTTAAATTCCTATTAAGAATGTAAACAAGACAAATCAAGTTTTTCAAGCTTGATTAGGTCATTATTGAATAAGCTCAAATTTTGAGTAATAAGTTGAATTATTTTAATATTTAAGTAACAAATTTCAAGAATCTAATTGCTCGAGTGAAATTTTTTATAATACATAATATATAAATAAATAACAAAAATATAATATTTAAATTTATATTTTATTTTTTAAAATCTGTCGAACCAATCTTAAATAACTTGAATAAATTAAGATTCAATCTGAAAAATTAAAAAAAAAAAAAAACTTAATTGCTCGAGTCAAGCTTGAGCCGTATGCCGAATGGATTGGACTCGTAACTCGATTACATCCGTTCCTTTTATAAAGTCATACTTTGTTACAATTTGAATCTTTTTCTAGCGAATTTTTTTTTTAATTTGAAGACTCACAACAAAGCACGAGTAATGTGGGTTTGAGGGGCATCATAGTAATTACAGATTAGGGCTTCACAACTAAACCCTAACTAGCCTCCTATAAATAAAGAGGCGCCGTGAAGTGCCGTCCCATGTGTATGTTCTTCTTTCTTGTGTTTTTTCTTTATATGTTTTCGTGGTGATAGATTGGGTGAAGTTTATGATTGAGATTAAAGGTTTGAGAAGCAGGGATAGTGTGTATCGACGTAGTGCAAAGATGAGATGCACTCTGTTCGAAAGAGTTCCCTGCAAAATTGATCTTTTTCTTTAAAAGGGAGGGGAAGATGGGCAGTTGTGCTTCATATCCTCCGTTGAATTTTTCAACAATCATCTTCCCCACATTCCAACTCTTTCTTTTTTTTTTTTTTTTAAAATTAAGCTGCATAATTGTTTTAACAAACCTTCAATTTTGCATTTGGGTGTTGGAAAGTATTGTATGGTGTCTGCGACTGTGAAGTCATCAATCAAGCTTTGGGTTGGATATGGACCCAACAAATCATTTCAAACATCTTACCAAAATCTTGTGTTGATAAGATTCAAGTTGTCTTTAATTCCGTGTGAATGGATAAGAAGATAAAAATGACAGTCGTGGCGGAGACGATTACTGAAGAACGTGCTCCCCATGTTCTTCTACCGCACCATTCTTTTTCTGTTATTGGTATTTTATGGATGCATTGTATAATCTCTGAAATAAGCCCTCAATTATCATAAAAATGTTTACTTGAGTCCTAACTTTACCGAATCCCTTAATCAAAATTTTTTTTAAGTCAATTAATTCAATTTGGATGGAAAAACCTGAGAGAGTTAATGGTTTAGTGGCTGTTTGAATGGACTCCGAGAGATTCAGATGGACATTTAGATTGAATATGTCATTACAATCATTAAAATCTGCGATTTGATATAAATGGTATATGAAGATAAATTATAATAAAATAATAAAATAATTATTAAAGATATTAATTAAAATTTATGTATAAAGAAATTTATAATATATATGATATTTATAATATTAATAAATAATAAAAATTATTAAATTTATTTAAATTTAATAAAATTTTATTCTTAAACATTTAAAAATTACTTTTTATGTATATTTTTTTATAAAATAACAAAAAAAAGTAAAAAGTAAAAAGTAAAATTAAAAGCTATTAAGTGATAGGGATATTTTTGTTCTTTCACTTTGTTTGAAGGGTAAAAATGAAAAAAAATTGTATTTCTCTATTTAGATCTCCTTTATAAATAAAAAAGAAAAATAAAATAAAAAATTTTATAAGAAACTACAACTATGAATCATGCCATATTAAAAATGAAAAATCTTGAGAATGGTTTGTTAGGATCTTTGTAGATCACGTGGCTGAAATTTTGTCTAGTTTTGACCAATTAATATATGTTTCCTTCTAGGGAACTTAAAATTAAAATACTTATTCATCTTTTCTTCTTCGAGTATTCTTCTTCTGACATTAATTGTGTATTATTATGCAAATTAATTATTCTCAATTAATTTAATACTTTAAAATGATATTGGTCTCTACTGTATCTCAAATCATGTGATATTTTATTAATATAATTATCTATATTTTTTTGTGGACTAAGGAAATAATATCTAAATTAATTTAAAAATAATATAATAAGTCACTAGGCATGTTTATCCTCAAGCTTCTACTTAAGCATCACTCTAGAAAGAAATATATGAATATATTAAATATAAATCAATAAGGTAAAAACGTGATATGATAACTTGTTTGTAAGAATTGTGAAATACAATTTTAATTTTTGTTAAAATAAAAAGATTAAAAGAAATATGAGAATTACTATTATTAAATCAATGTATTACACATTAGTATTTTTATTTATTTAATGAGAAGCTTTTTGCCGGCAGTCTGCCATTTATTAATAAAATATTACATTTTTAATTTTAATAATTAAAATTTAGTTTTTGATAATTTAAAGTATAAAAAAATTGATCATCTATAATTTTAGGTTAATTTTAGAAAAGAATTCCAAACCCCCCAAAATAATGAACCTAGGGCCTGCTATAATTCTAGAATAACAAAATTATTATTGTTATTGAAGGTGACATGATTTGACAATAGAAAATATTAAAAGGAAATACAAGGAAAAAAGATTGGTCCGTGGCTATGAAACGATAAGTCAGCGAGGATTGGGCATGGAAAGGCAACGAGCTTATCTTCTTTATTCTAGTACAAATTCAAGGTCATGCCATTAATAACCAGAGCAGAAGATAATAACGAATCTATATGGATAAGGGCCACTATAAAAACATATATATGTACATGGCAGCATTACTATTGACAAGGACCTATCTAAGCCAACAAGCAAGTGCATGGAGTTTTTATCCACCCGACCCCAACGAACAACAGGTTCTATGCACAATTTTTTTTTCCTTAAAACACCAAGGAAATTTTGTGTATTTGCTGTCATGGAAACATTATCGTGAAAAAAAAAGACCAATCTTATCCATGTATTCTTTTATGCATATCAGCATGTCAACGTTTTGTCTTGGTTGATTATATAAATCTAAATCATCTTGAAGTTTCCACTCGTAGGCTCCTAGCTTCATGGTTGTATGAACATTTTTTTTTGTCTGGCTAGTTTCTGAAACTTCCGTTAGTTGGCAAATTTCTTGTTTATCTCCTTTGCTATGCTTCCCAAGAGAATTTGATTTGATAATATCAGAAATGGGTGAAGGTGATCTGAAAGAAATGTTTCAAGTTCCAGCTGGTTTTGTTGAGAAGAATCAGAAACATGGAGATAATCACTGGATGAACATGGAAGAATATGATCATGATGATGTTATTACAACTTCTGAAACATCCCTGGGGGAATATTCAAGAACTTCTCAGGGATCAACTTCTTCGTCAGACTTGGTAGATGATGCATCTTCTTCATCAACTTCAAATTCTTCCGCCAATTGTAATGGACCTTTATATGAATTGTCACAGCTCATGGCCCAACTTCCCATCAAGTGAGTACTTGTATATAACATGAAGGATAAATTTTAATCACTATATATATATGTGTGTGTGTGTGTGTGTATGTATTTCTTCATTATGTAAGTCTGCAAAAGTAGATCTTCTTGCTAAAGGTGTCCTTGTGTTGGTGCAGGAGAGGGCTTTCCAATTATTTTCAAGGCAAGTCTCAGTCGTTTACATCCCTCTCAAGTGTAAAAAGCATAGAAGAACTTGCAAAGAAAGAAACTCCTTACAAGAAGAAAATGACGAAGTCATGTAAAAGCTATGGGGGTGGTTTGGATACCCACAAATTGTATACTCTTCCAAGGGCCACCATCTCAAAGAAAGTCTCGAGAAATTCTCTGGCATCCTTATCTTTTCCAGGCAGAAGAAGTAGTTTTCTAAGGGGAAGGCCTCCTCTAATTCCTGTACAAAAGAACTTTTCATCTGTATAGAGCTTTATAAAGTTGCAAGAATCACTGCAACGCGGAAAAAATATTTCTTTTCATTGTAGATATTGTAAAGAATTTTCACACATGATTTGGTGAATCAAATCTGTAGTCAAAACTCTATTTTACTATTTTCCATTGAAAGTTAGAAGGCAAAATTCCAATTTGTGGCTGCTAAGTTTTGTTATTTTGATCCTTTTTTCATTAAAGTATATACTTATTATTAATTAATTTTATATATATATATATATATCATGTCTTCTTTACAAAGTTAATCAATCACTCTTCCTCATTCTTTTAAGCTCAGTTTGGATTGTGCTTTTGTTTTGTTTTGTTTTTTTTTTTTCCTTAATAGAAATTAAAAAAAAAAACTTGATTCTCCAGGCATGATTTCGTGCATTTCTGCATAGATTACCTTCAATTACTTGTTGGAAGAGGAACCCCGGATCTTTAGAAGTTTAGCTGCCATACAGCACCATATATCGTGTGCGTGGTAATCATGCATGTTTTGAGAGCTCTGATAGGCTCCTTCTTGCCATCTATCTAGGAGACTAGGGCTCTCCCCCATTGAATCTCTTACTACCCATGGCAATGAAGAATGATCCCTTTGCTAAGTGTGAAATGTCTTTGGCATATGCGGCCGAGGCAACAACCTACAATGGCCGGTTAAGCTCCGTAAGGTCTCTAGTCCACTTAAGCTCTTATTAGCGAGCAAAAGTAGTTTTTTTCTATATGGATGAACCGCAAGTTCATAATCACATCAAATTAGCTGGTAAATTATTTTTCTACTATAACCAAAAGATAATCATACGCTTCCCTAAGGTCGCAAATCGTCAACCCACGAGAGATTTATGGATTCTTTTTTTATGAGAATTTTTTTAATTTAAAAATTATTTAACAATAAGAGATCAGGAAAATTTAAAATTTTATATTCAGATTTTAAATCTCAACTACTTACGCTAACCCTTATTGGCACTATCCAACTCTTTAAATAATCATAACACCTGCCATTTAATTCATTTGTTTTCATGCAGCTACCCCTTTGTACCAAAAATAAAAAAATAAAAACCAAAAACCATAACTAGGCAAAGATATTAAGACGGATAAGAAACATAAAGATGATAAAAGGTGATAATTAAAGTGATTATTTAAAAAAAGGCAAGTAACCAATGGTTGGTTAGTCTTACAATGATGATCAGTTCCTACAGATTAGAATAGACAGCCAAATTCTAGTTTTACATTAGTTTCCTGGAAATGAGCTGCTATATGAAACAACAGAGATGCTGTTTCTGATATGCTCAAAGTTTAAATTAATATCAATGTCTTCACAGCCTTCATGGAGATGCAACAACGTCTGCACGATTGCGGATTCTGGCTGATCGCCTCAGTGGAGTTGCTGTGACCAGGTTATTCCTCCCTTCTCCATCCGCTCCTGCCTGTTGCGACACAAACACAGTTAAGGTTCCGATTAAAAAAGCTTAAACAAAGGTGTTTCGGTATAGTCCTAACTGGCTCAATGTCAGTGTCAGGCAGTGACAAGATAATCCAGCACTTATGTTTATTTAACTAAAATAAATCTGAAACCGAGTCTAATCTTTACAACTGAGACATAGGTCTTCCTAATTTCACCCTATGGTCATCCATAATAAGCAAAACTGTGTCAGAGATAATGATGATAATAATTGAAGGAATATTAGGAAAAAACATACCATGTCATTGTTTCTGAACTCTTTCCTCAAAAGTTTCTTCTTGGCAGTCAATCTTTCGGATGAATTGGAATTCACGGTAGAGAACTCTAACAAATCATGTTTCTCCCGAGCCGGAGCTGAATAAGCATTGCTCCCTAAACCCTTTTCCAGAAAATCAGAGTAGCTGCTCACTTCATCTTTCATTCTGCTTTTGATGGCACAACTCTTAAGAGAACTGCCAATTCCTCCTACCTCTAATTCACCAAGCAACCCAACTGAAGGTGCTCGGCTTTGGTAAGTTTCTTTAATATCTTTGTCCACGGAGCTAATCAAAGGCATGGTGTTCAAAAAAGAATTCACATGCGTTTTATGCTCCTCTTTCTCAGCGGGAATCACCAAATTTGGTTTCTCCTGCTCAACAGGTTTGGTCGAATGCTTATCCACCAGACAAGAACGCTTTGATGCAATTCTATTTCTCCTAATATTAGATCCCAACACCAAAGATGTAACAATAGCAGTACATGTTAAAAATCCAAACATAACTTTGAGAAGTATTTCAGTTCCCAAGTGCTGGTTGATCCCCTTCAGTGGATTCACTTCTTTGAAATTGAGAATAACGGATTTGCCCCACCTTTCTAGCATAGTAACTGCACTTGCCATGCTTATGGCATTTCCAAATAGTATAATTTTACCTTGAACCATATCATTTTCTCTTGTTTCGTTGTGAATTTCTTCATCTGCCTTCTTCGGAACCACCCTTTCCTTCTCTGAAGAATCTGTTGTATGAGATGCAGCCTCTTGGTGATCAGTCCCTTCAGACAACAGACTTGCCTGATCACCTTCTAAGAATTCCGTCTCTCCTGCAGCTTGTCCCAGAAGTTCAATGTCCCAAACCATCTGATCATAAACTTTTCCTGTTTCCACCAATTCCTCTTCAATTATATCTCGACTTTCTCCATTTTCTTTTATATCTTCAATCTGTTCCCCAGTTTCTTTTCTCTCATGCAGCTCAATATCCACGACAAGCTGGTTAGAAACATTTCCTCTTTTCATCAATTCACTTTCAATTACATCTTGACTTTCTCCATTTTCCTTTACACTGTCAGCCTTCTCTACTTCTTCAATCTTTTCCACAGTTTCTTTCTCCTGCAACTCAACATCCTCAGCAAACTGCTCATAAGTTTCTCCACTTTTAATCAATTCTTCTTCACATACATCTTCACTTTCCCCAACTGTCTTCACTTCAACCATCTCTACAGATTCAACATTTCTATCCTCTAGCTCCAAGCTAACTATTTCTCCCATGTTAACATTTTCGGTTACCTCTTCCTCAATCCCCTCATCCAAAATAGCTTGGTTCAAGCCCAATAAACCCAATTGTTCTTTTTTTCCATCCAAGAACTTGTATCCAACCTCAACACTCTCAACTATTCCATACGAGTGATTTTGAATCTTTTGATAACCAAGTGTTAGACCCTCAAAAGCTGCTGGTGCAGTGGTTGGAGAATTAATGGAGGAAATATATGATGTAGTTATTACTAATACCACCAACAAAAGCAGATATTTCAACACTCTTCTCAAACTCCATCCTACTTCCTCTTCTGCCTCTTCATCACTTTCAATATCAAATTCTTCATCTTCTTGCTCCAAAAAACTCTCATTTTCATCACCATATTGTTCATCTTCTTGTGAAGAAGAAGAAGCCAAAGAAGGATTGTCACTAGAAACACTTGACCCATCATCTCTTTCTTTTTCCTCCATTTCAAGGCGCAAAAAGATCTCTTTTCGCCTACTAGGATTATACCTTAGGAATTGAGGCCTTGGTGAAAGGTAATTCGTTAATGGATCATAAGGCCTTGGTGAAGGTGTCTCATCCCTGGAACTGTATGATAATGGTGTCTTCTGAGAAAAAGGTTCCTTAGAAGTGACTTTGGGGTCAAGATTTGGGGAATTCTTGTGTGAAGATTTTGGAATTGTCTTTGGTGAGGCTTTTGAATCAAGATCTGGGGTTTTTGAGAGATGGGTATTGGATAAATTTGATCCTGGAGATTCATTTCTTTCAGCTAAGATTTTCTTTCTTGGAAAAGTGGCCTTTGAAGCTGCGGAAACAGTGAGTGACATGAAATCCTTCACAGTTTGTTTCTTTGGGTTTTCCAAATTCAAACTCATTTCCTGACTGCTTCTATCATTCTCATCTGAAACTATTAAAAATCCCAAACTAAACAATTAAAACAAAAAACCATATACTAATTCCAAAATTTTACCTTCATGTTCATTGGGAAAAAAGAAAAGAAAAGCAAACAAACAGATATACAAGTAGAAAGAAAGGGAAAGTTTACCAGTGGGAGATGCAGATGATTTGATAGAAGTTGAAAATGAGACTTTTTTCTTAGACCCTTTCATCTTTTCTTGAATTTTTTCTCTTTGTGCTCTGATTGAAAATGTTTTTCTTGAATTTCTCTTTTTCTGTGAAATTGGAGGGAGAGGAAGAAAGAAGAAATACCGAAATCAAAAGTGAGCGTTGGGAAGTATGTTATATTTTATTTATGTATTTGAAATTTTGAAATGTACTGTATATTTGAGCCGTTGGAAGAGCTGTCAGTTTTACAACGGTCCACTTTCAGCTTGCAATAAAAGATGTCTTTGGATCAAAATTAATAAAAAATTATGCATTTAAGAAAATTAGTTCATTTTTTTATTTAAATAATTTAAATGATTTAATCAATCGATTTACGATTTTAAATTTTATGCATCTGATCAAAAAACTTAATTTTGAATAGTTAAGTCTTTAATAAATATACCCGTTCACCTTTACCTATATCCTAAAATCTAAACCTCATTGCTTCTCCTTCAAAGTTTCTCCCTTGAGCCTCTCTCGTTGCCGCAACGCCACTCAAGCTTCAGCCCTCCACGCTACTTTGCAAGGATCAATGAAAGTAACCTCACTACTTTTATTTTTCTCTAGTTTAATTTTACTCGTATGAATTTAAAACTTATTGGTTACAAAGTATTCACAAATCAATGTTAGCTCTCTATCACGTAAATTTTGATTATTATATAGGAACTTGGTCAACGAGAAGCAAGCATTTTGGCCATTGCCTATTGGCTTGTTTGTCTACCTTTTTTGCTTGACAAGCGGTTAGAACTATAACAAACCAAGAGTAGTTACCATTTTAAATGCAGATTTAAAATTAAAAAAAAAAAAAAAACCTCCAATCTCAAGACGGCCAGGAATGTATTGGCATATGATTTTGCTGTGGTCACCCAGGCAGAGGAGTCACTTCCAATCACCAAAATCGCACATGCCCAGGCTTATCTGCATTTTTTATTTTGTCAATGTAGTGGTTTGCAGAAGATGAACCGCCCAATATAAACATTTCCAGATTTTTTTTTTCTGCAATTTGATTTATAAACCGAAAAAACCAATTAAACCGATCAATTCAATTTGATTCAATTTATGTTGATTTTCATTTTTTTAATTGATCGATTCGATTTTTGTATAAATTATATCCGTTAAGTTGATTTTCAAATATTTACTAACAAATTAATCCAACCAATTATTTGCCTTTTTCTAATATTAATGGCGTTTACTCCAGAATTTTAATCACGCTGACTCATTAAAAAAAACTAATTAATATGTCACCTCATTAATGTTTTTTTAATAAAAAAAACTGCACTGAAAAAGTTTTTATATATGCTAAAATTTAAATTTCATGTTATAAAATGACGCTTTTTAAAATTATTATCTAAATTAATTAAATTAAATTTTAAAATTTATCCTAAAATCCGAATACATTTAATCACTCTTGAGACATAATTTCTTAAAATATAATTTCATGGGATATAATAATTTCTTAAGATAAAATTCAGAATAAAACAACATTTATTATACATCCTAGCATTTGATTAACTAATTAATGCATGATATTTGCTCAATAGAACTCATGTTTTCTCTTATTTAAATTAAGATGACAATGAAGCGGATATTAATTATTTTTTTAATATTTATATATGAATTCATTTAATATTTATAATATTTAAATTTATTTAAATTTAGTATTATTATTAAAATATGAATTTATTAAAATAAACACTATTTGTTTAAATATCTAAGTCCATTAAACCATTGGCTTATTTAAAATTTTTATTAAAATATAAAATAAATAAGAATTTAATTTAAAATTTAAATTCACTCTTAATTAATAACAAGTAAAAATTATTTGCCAAGGTTAGAAACATTTCACACACATAAATTTTATCCCAAAGCCATTTGGTTTAGTGATTAAAAGTGTTTGAGGGGACATCAAGAGTTTAGTTTCGAGTTAAGTCTTCCCCTCTTCTCTTATTTGTATTAGGGTTTTATTCTCTTGATGTAACAAAAAAAATTTATATATTTTATAAATGTAAATAGGTAATAAATTTGAATACGAATTTAAATATATGTTACTATTTATTAAAATTTAAATGAATTCAAATATTAGATATTCAGGAATATTATCCGTATCATATCCGAATTAGTCACGGATAGTAAATCTTTTATCCAATTTTATTAATTATACATTTATAATTATTCAAATCTAATATAAATTAATCAATTAATAACGAGTATCTATTTATTCATTCTCCATTGTTAACCTTAATCCAAATAAAATCTATATATATTTCTTTAACCCTTATCATATTGGTTTTTAACAACCAAATTTGTACCTTCAAAAAATTGTTTTGGCGCATCTATTATATGGGTGAAATGATAAATTTTGTTATTATTTATATAAAATATTTGTATAAATATAAAATTTGTTATTACTTAAATAAATAATATGCTACTTACCAAAATATATAAAATAAAATAAAATAAATGTACATACAATTTTGAAATATTAAAAAAAGTTAATTATAAGTTTTAGAAAAGTGAAAGTGGTTTAAATTACATTTTCAAGAAAATTAAAAGGTCAATATTAATTTTTTTTGTTATTATATGATAAAATTTTTTACAAATTCTCCGACTGACTTGACGTCAAAAGTTTTATAATAATATGGATAACAAGATAACGAACAACATTTTTATGTTATTTAATTTAATGATGGTATATGAGGATCTTAATTCTTAAATTAGTTTATTACTCTTCAATAAAATAGAGCTTATTTTATTTCAAAAATAATATAACTTAATATAAAACGTCCAACATATTTCAATTTTTGTGCAAATTTTTTTCGCTATAGAATATAGCTTATTAGTTTTTTTTTTTTAACAATTTAAAAAGATGTGAGGGATGTAATTTGAAGCATTAAAAGTATAAATTAGATTTAGAGAAAATTTAAAAATACCCTTGATTGCATAATAATTAAAAAAATATGTTAGTAGTATTGAGTGATGGGTAACAAATCCAGGAGGCTGAGAATGAGATCCATTATATATATAAGCAAACCGTCCAAACTATTAGTATCTCCAAGCCCAAATGGATTTGTGGTTAGAAAAAAGCCCAAACAGATTAGTGAAACAAGTAAAAATTCATAAAATAAATTTGGCCCATGCAGGTTTCGAACCTGCGACCTTCGCGTTATTAGCACGACGCTCTAACTAACTGAGCTAATAGACCGATTGATTTGAATGAGTAAAAACTATATTAAGTCCTTAATTTGTTGACATTTTTTTGCCTGAAAAGACAACTATTGCCTCCCACTGTACGGGATACAATGAAGTTTGTTGTCCGAAAACACAATTTTGTGTGCCATAATTAAGTGGTTGAATTTTGTACTAAATTCACACTAATTACAAAGCAACGTTTCCATTTTGTTTTATTATGTAACCAATCTGCTATTCATATATATTTACACTTTTTTTTTTAATAAAGTGAAAACACATCAATGAACCAATTAAGAATTAATTAATCTCATTTGTTCCAATAATAATAGAAGACTCAATTGATTATCAACCAAAAAAAATTTAAATCAGTTAATAAATTAGAAAGATTCAAAGTCAAACTTTCAACAAAAAAATAAAAATCATAACAAAATGTCAAACTAATGCAATTATTGTAACAATTAATTTTTTATATTTAAAATTGTCAAAAATTAAATATAAATTATTAAAATTAAAATTTTAATATACATTTTATCAAAAAATCATATTAATAATAAAAATTAACTTGTGAAATAGTGCTTAGCACATGATTAAGGGGACCAACCATAAGGTGTAAACCATGACTTAGCCCATCCACAACTGTTGTTTCCCCCTCAGAACTAATCCAATCTATAATCAGTTACATTTGGTTGAATTTTCAAATTCAAAGACCCAAAATGGTTAGGAATTCGTACGAATTTAATGCCAAAAATAATTGACTAAACAACTTTCAAATTATTATGTGTGTTTTAATTAACCCAAAACCCTTTTCTTTGCAAAAACCAAAGTTTTCGAACTACTAAGCAATGGCAAATTATCTAATATGCATATAATTTGCATCAATTAATCAAGATTTGTATTAATTTAATGCATTTTAAAAAATATTTTTTATTTTATGAAAAGATGACGAAAGCATAGACAACTAACCAAACACATCGGAGCTGCATGTTCCTCGTACAAAGACATCCTTGTTAATTAAGCTTTAATAATCTTGTTCATTAATATGGTTGAAGATTACCAACGTCAGAAAAGTTTTCTTCTCTTCTCTAACATAAAACTTAGAAGGACGCTTTTTGTCATTTGTGCTTGGGCCTAGGGGCATTTGATAAAATTATACTGCCTTAGTTTTAAAATAATTACTATCATTTATTATTTTTTAAGTTAAATTAAATTTATTTTGACCATTTTTATAATAAATTAAAAAATTACAAATTTTAAGTTTCAAAATTTTCAAAACATAGTTTTTAAAAAATTTTAATTCAATATATTATTTAATTCCATCAACAAAATTAAAAGATTATCACATAGCATATTAAAATATATTTAAAATAGTTAATATGATAAATCAAAAGATATGTTAATTGTACTTCTAAAGCTTGTATAAAATAATAATTTGTAAGGCTACTTGCATTTTTTTTTTAAATAGTATTCTATTTACGTTGTGCTCAATCTATGCATTAAGAATGTGTGAGGCTATTAATTATGTTGCCTTGGTGGTAAAAGCGACATGTTTTTTCTTTTCCATACGAAGGCATTTGTCCACTAGAAGTACCAACCTTAAAATGATAACATTTAGGTAGTGTTTGGTATATTTTTAAAATTGTTACGGTGATTATGTTATCATCAAGATGATTTTATTATTCATAATTTGAAATCATTCTATTTTATTAACAATCATTAATTCATATAAATTAAATATTATTGTATTTAATATTACTAAAAATTAAATATTATTTTATTTAAAAGTATGAAAATAACCATATATATCATCATAGTTACA